ATTTTATGATATGAAATACTTTGTTTCCAATTTATTGAACTCAGATGCAGATTATATATTTTTTCTGTTTCGAAAGGACAAGCAAGAATCATTGCAACAGAATAGACAGGCTTTGTGCATCTCCACCCAGAAACAGCTGCAACAATGGCCCAAATTCAAGATTCCCGATTTAATATTTCCATTTCAGACTCCATATATTTATAGTGCTGTGTGGTGTCATTGTGTAAAAATACAATTGGATCACATTCATAGTTACTTTGACTTAAATGTATTCATACTTCAGGCATTAATGTACTTTTACAAAATAGAAAAAATACAGAATTTAGTTTAACTTAACTGCAGCTAAAATCTTAAATAGTTATTTTCTATAGTGGGCTAAATTCCCACACCATAGTGAACAAATTAGACAGACACTTGCAGTACCCCCACAGTGGAAACTATCAGTCTCCTGGGTGCTTCTTACTTCTTACTTAATTCTATGGAATTAGACAGACAAAACTCATGAATATGTCTGAGAAAGCTGCTTATAGATTATTTTTTTAAAGTCTAGTATGGTGAAAGTGTTTCAGATAAAAACAAAAGCTTTGGCTTTCTTGTCTACTGAGTGGCCATAATCTAACACTGTTGTGCACTAGTCTTCCAACACTAATTCCTAAACACCTAGAGAGGTATTGAGAAGAGAAACCACAAAGTTCCCTTGTAAGGTCTTGCCATTTTAGCCCTTCTTATAGTAAAGACTAGCTGCTGAACAAAAAACACCCCATGAACGTTTGAAATTGCCTCAAGGTTATTTCATCCCTAAAATTTTGAGCCTGCATACATGATATTTAAACATCTTTGTCTTTTAAAACCAGAATGTCTGGGACAACAGCAGAGAAACTAAACTGTTTGACACAATGATCAGGTCATGCCATCTTCTTATCTTTGGCAAACACAAAAGCTCATGGAGGCTTTGTTAAATATTTCATACCTGATACCAAATAAAGGAAAATCCTTGCGTAAATGTCAACAAGATTGCTGCTCCTTCTCGGTTTCCTTGGTGACAAACCTCAAGCCCCCAGAACACTCTGCAGGGGGAACACACTTGATGTCATTCAAAGCTTCCAGCACCAGGTCTGTCACTGACAGGAAACCTACATATACTGTAGGTAACTTCAAAGTCTTTTAGATTATAAGAAAGAGAGAAAAAAAAGGCTTCAAGTTTTTTTGGGAATGATTTTGCATGATACATGATGGCATATCTGCCTCAAGGCAGTATCATGAATGTAGTGATTATACAATGAATGAGCTCTTCACAGTTTTCTTTTCTATAGCAATGAACAAAATGGCGATAAGCCAGACACCAGACACCTCAGCGCACGTGGCGGACTTCTCAAAACAATAAAACCAAAGTGAGCAGAAAGAACTAAAGCTCTATTCCTTGTCTAAAGAGAAAGTTCTTTAATTCCAGAAGGATCAAAAATAATCTCAACAACACACGTTTCTAGGATTTATAGTATCTACTACCATGCTACACAACCCATTGTTAATTTAGATTATTTTCTATGTTGCCTGCATACAGTAGATTAGGCTTGCATGTGGCAAGATGTTTGAAAACCGGTTAAGATTAACAAGCACAGGAAAGTGGTGCACCATGAAACGTTTCATAGTCATTGCAGCGTTAGTTTGTGCTCTTCCAGTCAATGATCTTTCAAACAGTTTCAAAAGCAATTGTGTACAAAGAACTACGCATAACACGTCCTGTACAACAACACGGCCCAAATAAGACAAAGGAAAAGACAGAACAGGTACACACTTTGAGGAAGCAACTAAAGAATGCACTCATTCTTCTATTCTGTTGCTCTCACAAATACTGCTGCTAGTTTCAAAGCAGTGACTGGAACACTGGATTTAGTTTGGGACTGAATGTCAAGCTAATCAACTCATTCTATGGAGCCCAAATCAAAGCCTCTGCTCTTCAGGCTCCAAAAATGTACAATTAAAGTTTCTGTCTTCCTTTCATTCACATCAAACGCAAGCCACGGATCATTAAAATGTACCAGGCCAAGGATCATTCGTATTCCATTAGCATTTCAGAGTCTTAACATTGAACTGTAGAACAGGCATGAAATGAGGCCATAAGGAAAGAATGCAGGGCACCACCTGACTTTAGAAGTTACAATTAAACAAAGTGGAGCCACAAAATTGGACTGCATGCCTTGGACTGCATGTCTTCTATAGAACCCTTAGATGACAGTAACTTGTTGATTACTCCAGTTCAAAATTCTACTAATGTTACAATTACTACAGACTTGTTTTGGTGGTTTGTCCCCCAGGTTTTTGGAAGGTGCTGGTAGCAGGTACAGTAATAGGAAAGTAATAGAGTCACCCTGCTACAGATTATGTCAATTCCCGAATTGGACAAATCATTATAATTAGTAAGAAACCTGGGGGCTGAATGAAGGCTGAATAAGCTTTACTGGTCAAATTCAAATACATGTATAAGCACAGACATACTGCATGTCTGCCACAAAGACCCATACTGTATCATGCTGCTTAATGCAGTTTCCAAATATATACCAAGTGATCAAAATGTTCTGCACATTTTCTATTTTTGTCTGATTAGAAACGGAATCTCTCTTATGCCCTCAATCGCTCTTAACAGCACTGGTTCATCTGCGCGGAGTTCTTTTCCCAATATCCTACCACGTATGCTCTGTGTGATTTTGTGCCATTATGTGTATTTGGGTTGTTCTTATCCTGACAGCTATTCCTGAAAAATAGCCACTGAAATGACTTTGTAAGGTTGATTTATATGCAACAGAGAAGCACAAGACAGTCTGTACCCTACAAATGAAGCGCTGAGCACTCACGCCTGAGGACTATGGATTTTCTCACCTCATTTCCTTACAGTACATTCCATCCTTTTGAACCTTTTAAGAAGGGTAACGTAGCTCGGATACTTGCCCAGAGAGGCAAACAATCTAAACCGAGACAAGCAAAGAAATCCCTAAGTATGCATGCAACACGACATGGAACATGTAAGAAAATACAGTAAGTAATAAAAAGACAATTATTTTAAGCTTCATCATAACGTGGTTTTTAAATCCCATGGCAACTGAGGTACAGTAGTCTGCTGTTTCTAACTCTCACAGTGAGCTTTTCAGGTTCTGGGTCTCTGTTTCTTCAAGTCACTTGTTCCTGCCTGTAGAATGCCCCATGGATTGTAACACCTCACAGCTGTCCAAGGATCTCAGTCTGGTCATTTTATTTTGTCCTCTTATTGTCACCAAAGAAGCTGGTCAAATGCTACAGAAGCAAAAACGTTTTTAATAAAAGTAGAATTCCTACCTAATACTAATTAGGATACTTATATACTAAATACTAAGGGGAAGCCTTGATCTGCTGGAAAAAAAAACCCAACTAAAATCACGATGAGCTTCAGTTTTGATATTACTTTCTCCCCCAGGGTTCGGCTGCTGACAGGCTCTTATTAATACAGGAAGAGAGCCGTGTGCTGGATCAGTGCATTGACTGTACAGCAGCTTCTCCCTGTCAGGAGCCCGTGTTCAGCCAACAAGCGGGGGTTTGGTTCATGAGCTTGACACGGCTGCCAGCTGAGATGTGTGTGTGTGTAGGGAGGGGTTAGCGAGGGTCGCTATGTCAGTCTGCAAGGTGTGCCCTCCCAGCCATGTAATGGCTGCAGACTGAAGTTCTGTAGGCACGCTGGCAGGCTGAGCGATGGACAGACAATCAGCAGAGAGGATGCGGTTCGTTTCTTTTATGGAAGGATAATCTTGTTTGTACAAACCTCGTCCTCTGAGACAGACACAATTGCCTGATTTGAACAGGAGAGCCATTGGAGGTGGGGAGGGAACTACTAAATAGAATAGATTGCATTAAATTAATAGTCAGTGGGCATTTAACTAAATCATTGTTTTCTGAGCACAGCTTGTGCATTATGATGCATTATGATTTAGTCAGACTTTACTTTGACTTGATTTCGCTTTTCAGTAACTGCAGGGAACTGTGGTATCTGTAGATTTCTCTCATATTTGACGTGGCTGGGTCACTGAAGTCATAGTATATGCATTCTGGAAGCAGTCTATTCCGAAAAATCTGCCTATTAGACAAAGGAAAGATATCCTAAAAAAATCGATTCCATGAAATGACTTGGCACTCTCTTCAACAAGCCAAAGAAGAATTTACTCCATGTGTTGACGCTGGACAGAATCACTTGAGAATGACATCTACATACAGAAACCAAAACTAAACTATTATCATTAATATTATTATTCCCTGTATTTTTCATACATATTTTTGTATTTTACCTTACAGGTATTTCAAATAATTGTAAGCACTGACAAGTAAAATAAAAGGGAACAGAGATTCAGCAAATAAATCTTATTATTGCATGGGTAATATTCCCTCTAATATTTCCCTTGATTACAGTGGTGCACACTGACCTTGTTTGTTCTCCATGCTTGACTCATATGAGAGCGCGTGATCATGTGGTCTCTGCTGATTCACTCACCCTCACCAACAGAAACTCCATGCAAGCTAAAATACGAAACACAGACTCTACACTGACACCTGACTGCAGCCAGTCAAACTGTCCAGTGCCACGCAATTTTCAGCAGACCTGGAAGCACCAGGATCTGTTTCCTTTTTATTTGCACTGACGCACATGAGCTGCCCCGATGATCTGTTACTGTCATCGCCCGCCGCACAGTACAGTATATCCAGTTCTTTCCAACAGTACGTCAGTGGAGAGAATCATTGTATTTAATTATCTGAGAGAGTGGGAGCACCATCAATAGGCCACAATCCTGCAGGATATTTCATGCAATGCCTTTCAGTCCAGGGTTTAGGATTCCACACAAATTGTTTCACTGCACGAAAATACACATCACATCTTTATGGCTCTGGGATACAGAAACGTGCATACATCCGTCTGGCCCCTGCAGTAGTGATAAAGTCGGAATAGTATGCTTTCAAAAGCAGGTTACAGTGAGCCTCACCTGGTTGAAGTGCTCCAACCTCTCCTTCAGCTCAGAGAGCATGGGATCGGGACCTCTGACCTTCATCTCTGGATTCTGCTTCTGGGCCAGAATGCCATTGCCAACAAGTCGACCCGTGTAACTGAGGGACAGAAACAGAGAGAGGGAGTGAGAGATGAAGCTCTCTTATTCTTGTTTTGTTGTTGGAAAAATGTTGGCACATGAAGATCCCGCTTCCCATGTGCGATTAGTTCACATGCTGAATTTCAGACACACTTCTTTTCACCTTTCTGGTATTATCCAGCAGTTTGTCTCCAGATGTTTAATGAGTGGCAAAAGAAAATCACGTCAGTGTACACACCTGAGGCAGCAGTGGGCAGCAGCCATGCTAAGACATTGTAGGATCTCCCAGATTACAGAAAAGACAACACATCTTCCTCAATTCATGATAAGCAAAAAAGAAGGAGACTGTTCCTGAGGATATCTGTTTGAGCTATAATTGCCATGGCAGGTGCATTATGAGTAAGTTCCTTCATTGCTATGACAGTTACACATAAATACATCTTGCAAGTGAATAAGATAAAAAAAACTCCAGATTTGTAAACATATTCTACTGAAATATAACTATTTTAAATACAATTCTATAGAAAATTAATCACAGGCTACAAAGATGTCTAATGATAAAACATTTAAATGTTAATTATAAATAGTTTAGCCTTATAATTTCAAAACAGGAAAAATCCTTTTCAATTTAAAGTGATGTATTTTGTGCTTGACATCCCATTATATATTTAAGCAAAACTGGACATATCTGTGCAGAAGAAGCGATCAATAAAGTTTGCACTGCCGACTTCACCAACATAAATGATTAATTATAAAGTCAAATAGTTTGTTCTCTGGGAACTGAGCTGGCATGTTTTGTTGCACATTGTAATGAGCTAACGTTTTTATATGATTTTTCTTTGTTTATTAGGGCAAAGAAAGGAAAAATCATTGACCGTTAGCTCTGATAGCTCATTACTGCAGTCTGAAGTGAAAGGATGCTACTGCCTTTCAACCAGGATACACTAGCTGACTTTTTATTTAATCATTTACATTGACATAAAGATGCCAATTACATCTGATGAGAAATACACCAATAACTGTATATTCATATATACAAGTGTATTCAGTGTGATGGCATACAATATTTTGTTGTTCCCCACAACATTTAATAAGCCAACATCCACTTAAAATGATCCGAATAATCTCCAACTGATAGCCGTCAATCTAAATGCAGAACTAAAGTCAACTATCTTCACTGGATAACATCGATTCATGTACTTTGTACCAAAAAAGAGTGTTCCTTTCTAGAGCTGGGTTAACCAGTCTATGGGTTTCCTGCAGTGTTAGCCCTACAGCGATACTAGATTTCAGGGCTCACACACACTGGTGCTCTGATGGACAGGAAGACAACAGTTGCCACAGGTTTGGTGATAGACACCATATACTCCCAAAAAAACAACAACGGTGAAAGACATCAAGATCCCTTTCAACCAGATCTGGTTGTGGCATGAGAGTGATTTTATGCATTTCTCTTCATTCACTCTATTTAATAACTGAGACCCAGAAGGCCCCTGGTGATTATAAATGCGAGAACGCATGTATGGGTGACATTCTAAGTCTGACTTCAGTGTCTTGGTAGAGGCTCTGTACAGGAGTCGTTAAAATCCTATTGATTACCGTGACCTCGAAATGGCCATGTAAAAAAAGGACACCTAGAAGAAAAATAAGTCAATAAAAATTCTAATCATCTCAGGGGTGCCTCTGATGGCAGCCTGCAGAGAGCAGTCATAATCAATATGTTCAGGAACGTATTGTTAATCGCCACTGGCCCCCCAGTCTGCCCACTTCAGAACGGGGTTCAGGAGTAGGTGGAAGAACGCATGCAGCTGAAGTGACTGCAATATAAAGCAAAGCCCCAGCTTTGAGCAAAATTGCTTCACCCTGAAGCAGTATTTACACCACCGTGGTTTCGCTGGGTCTTAAAAGCCCTGAAGCCCAGCTGGAGCCCAGTTTGGTCCACATTTGAGTTGCCTATAGCTCAGGGTATGGAATAGAGGAATCTCACTGTACAGAGTGGAGAGCTAATTAAGAGTATCTGACTTGTCTAAGGATTTAATTGCTGTCATATACAAGGAGACAGCCTACAGAAGGTCAATGCAGGCAAAGCCTTGTACTGAGAAAGTGGCTCTTAGACTGCAATTGAACAACAATCCATAGCATTTAGCAGCACGTATTTGATGTTGCCCTTATCTTAAGCGGTGTCTTGGTTTTAGGCTTGGTATTTCAATGCTTTATCTGTGACTTCCTTTGCACAGAAGAGTCAAGTGCTGAATATTTATATTTTTGACAGTTAAAAAATAGGAGACAAATAATGGGACCTGAAAAGCCTGAGGTGTGTCATGTGGGCATTAAAATACATAAAAACTGAATCACTTCTCTGTTCTGATTGTTTAAAGATTCTGTTTCCGTTGAAAAAGTACATAACAGAATGAAACAGTTAAATGAAATCCTTTCATGTACTTAATTGGTGTACACTTATGATACCTTTTCCTAGCCTAAACAAACTAAAAGTGGTTGGGAGGCCCAATCACTGAAATAAGTCATTTTCCCCACTATCTGTAGTGTTTAATGCTGGAAGTGGTGTGAAAGCCTCTTTAGCAGTCATTGCTGGGAATAACTAAATCCCAAAACAGCAGATCTTGCTTATGCACAATCATTTGAAGAACTTCTCAGCACTTGCACGTCATTAGTAGAATACAGTAGCTGTTTAATAAAGGAGTTCTTTTCAGGGTTTGTGTGCTTGAGTGCACTGTAGGACAAGCTCGCCTATTTTGCCATCACTGTAATTTAACTAGGTGTGAGACTGCAATGGATTTAATTCATAGATTTATATTGTTTACTTTGTTATCCTTACAATGAGTTGCATTTGATCCCCTACAAATAGCTGACATCAAATTTTAAATGTACTGTAATAAGACATTTAATGCATTCCTAATTATAAAAAAAAGATTGCTCTGACTACATAAACAGCAATAATGTTTTTTACATTTACAATGTTTTGTAATTTTAGAAATTCAACAGTTAAGCCAATATTTCTTAAACATAATCTAAAAAGCATTCATATCCAAAAATGAACCAGGCACACCTGAACACAGGCACCTCAGTTTTGGACGGAGTGTTCAGTTCAAGGCTTCCAGTTGACAAATGAGTTATCAGCCCTTAACAAAACACCACACTTCACCTCAGCTACTATTTCAGCCTCGGAGTACACCATTTCATTGTATTTTGCCTGCAAGCAGAAGCAAAGTGACTGTGAAAAATGAGTCTATGAGCAGGAGCTTTGTTAAGTAGTGTAATTGTCTGTTATAGAGTACGTAATGGTACCTTGGGCAGGACAGCATGCTGTCAGGAAACTCTAGCAAAGCCACTGGGTTCTTGTTAGTCTGGTGTGCAAGGGAAGAGTTAACAACCTTGCCACTCTAGCTAATATCAGTTTACAGACACCCTAATTATAGATGATGAAGCACTGTGTATGGAAAAGCAGCTGATTTGTGTTTGGGTTGCACAAGAAAGCCAGATAAGGCAAGCCATGACAAAAACTCAGAAACCAGACTTAACTCTTCCTCTTCTTATGTTTTCTTCTAGGTAACGTACTAGTCAATTCAGTTTCACAACCTCTCCCTCGGTTCTTTTTCCTCCCAAGTTGGAGCTGATCGGTTCATACTTTAGGATTACAAATCATTGGGTAATAAAAAAGGGTAATATAATCTTGATTTCTATTCACAAAATCGACCTCACGTATATCTTGCCGGTATCACCTTTTCTAATACATAGACATACAGTAGTGTACATAAAAGCAACAAAGGGAGTCACCTCTAAGCCAAAAGCATTCCCTGTTAATGTATCTTTAATAGGCCACTGCGAAGCAAAAGAGAAAACAAGTTGGAAGTATAACCTCTTGAAGCTGCACAGATCTCTTTGTAGTGCTCAGTTTAATTAGCCAGGGTATTTAGACCACAGATTTCAAAGCTAACACAGATTAATCACTTCAGTTTCAGGGCTTGGTAGGAGCCACTTAATCATCCCCATCAGGCCTTAGAAAACAGCATGCTTGTCCATTGCTAACAGTCCACACACATCGTGATACAACATCGATAAACCCCAGAGGTACTGTACATTAATGAGGTGAGTTATATAATGTGGTACTAGGAGACTGTAACTCTAATGGCTATATTAACAGAAAAACTAAATAGCAGAGAACTGTGAAATTGTCTTTTGTATACCTTAACAGAGTTTAATTTTCTCCCCTAGCTGCCCGATGACCCAGATGGAAATCGTGCAGTAAAAACTGGAATTCCCCAGTAATCCAGTAATGCATCAAGTGTACAAAACTAATCCTGAAACTGAACAGCATGCTTGATCCAATGGAAATGAGAAGGCCATTGCTTTCTGTCTGAATCATCATCTTCTACTCTCTGCTTTTTAAAACACAACAAATGTAAGCTGTAAGATAAAGACAAGTTTTTCCTTTCCCTTCCTTAAACAAGGTACTTTCAAAATTACCCACAAGAACATAGGAAAGGTGACGAGTGAGAAGAAGTTTTTTGGCTCATATAGCTCATTTAGCTGCTACCATTGTTTCTTGAAAACAGTCACAGTATCAGCTTCAGCAACATGGCTGGCTCTCCTCCTCCCAGATCCTTTGCCTCAGGAGGTGTCTCCTGCTCTCAATTAGTACAGTATATATCATCAGATTCTATTTTTTCTTCTTTCACTTTGTTTAGTAGATGCAATTATTTCAACATAAACACAAAAATATTTTTCTTAAGTATCATCTCAAAGCTCAGAGCTTCCCCATCTTCTGTTTATTTTTATGTTGTGCTAGCTACGTGTAACACTTTGTACTTGACCACATTAAACATCATCTGCCAGGTGTTTTCCCAGACTTTTTTCTAAATCTTTTTGAATATATTTTGCAGCTTATACAGTCCTGCTTTTTAGAGGTAACCATAGAATTTGACTAATAATACTTTATGTAACCAGATAAGTTGAGATTTATTTACAATAAAAAACCTAGACGAGAGGCATACACCATTG